AGTTTTTCTTTCAAATCATAGAGCAAATTCCAAGCTTGGGTTTCTATTAGAAGAAAAGAAGCCTGGGAAATCTGCCTGGGTCACTTTCCTGGATGGTTCTGGGTGTACTCAGGTGTGCGAAGAAAGTACGTCAGCCTGTGGGAGCTGGAGCTCTGAGGCTCTCCCCAGATCCTCACCCGACCTCACAGGACTGCCATAGGAAAGACAGCGCTTGTAGGACTGTGTAACACCTTGAATGAATACAGTGGATGCTTGATGACATTCAGCTTCATTTCTCTTCCTGGTGAAATAATGATGCTCTGTTGCATTCTTGCATTAAGAGCCTTATTGTAATCACACTCCCAAAATCAGCTGGTGGCCAAGACATACTGAGAAGGAAGCTTCAGGAGAATCACAAAACTCCATTGCTTAAAATCTGAGTCCCCATTATCCAGCAAGGCCAGCAGTTCTCAACTTTCCTAATGCTGGGACCCTTTAATCTTAGTTTCTCATGTTGTGGTGACCCCCAATCATAAAAAAAGTATTTTGTCGCTACTTCATGACTGTAATTTTTCTACTATTATGAATCATATTGTAAATACCTGATATACAGGATATCTGATATGCAACCCCAAAGGGGTCACAACACACTACTGATCAAGGCTGATACATTACAGCAGATGATCTGCTGGAGGCACTGACTAGAGGTACCAAGCAGGCCAGGGGCATGAATGCACAGCACTCAAGGCCCTTGACTGCAAGTAGGCTGAAACAGGAGTTGCCAGGAGGATGCTGAACACTGGAGGTTGCAATAACCTGAACGGATAGGTGTACACCAAATCCACAAGGGCCAGATATTACCAAAAAATGGAAGCAACTCAGACTTCTGTCTACCAATAGATGGAAAACCAAATGTGACATGTACATTGTCGTGCTCTGATACTAACTGTACCCCACAAGAGCACCTGAAGGGTGTTTCGTCCCCAGATGGTAGCACTATGTAGGGAACAGAGAAGCTTCAGGAGCTGGAGAAGGCATGTCACTGGGATGTGCCTTTGAAGATTGTACTGGCCACGGTTTCTCTCCCCGATTCCTGGCTACTGTGCTGGTCTTGGTGGCTCTGCTCCACCACACCGTGTCTGTGGAAATGAACTGAAACCTCTGAAAGTGTGAGCTAAGACATCCTTCCTTAGGTTGCTTTTCTTCCTGGGGTTGTCAGAGCAAAAACAATAACACAGAGATACAATGTAATATTAGCAGCCTTAAGAAAGGACATTCTGGGCTTGCTGAAACAAGATGGAGCTGAAGGCTATGGGAGGTGTAACTGGTGCAGTATAAACCCAAAGTAACAGAACTGACATTATAAATGATTTACTAAAAGTTTTGCTTAGGAGACATTCAATCACCCGAAGCAGAATTTAGCTAGGGGACAGCTGCCACCAAAACACCCCAAAGATAAGTGGTTTGCTACTTAGGCCTGTTAGAGATAAACAAAATTTGCCAGTGCTAAGATGTCCATCAGACTTGACCAGCCATCAGGTCAATGCTAAAGAAAATGCTTCTAACAGGCATGCTTCCCTGAGCTCAAAGGAGCAGCATGAGGACACAGCCCCTGTTCAGTCCTGGCCTGCCATAGAGACCCCAATGACCTTCTTAAGAAAAACGTAGTTCTGCCAGATGGCAAGATAACCTGGGTAATAGTTATTCCAAAACAACAACACTGGTATACGTAAGAAATAATTCTAGCAATATCTTTGCTGTGTAAATCTCCCATCTAACCAAGTGGCCAGACTTGGAGTCTCCTGTCTCCATTTAAATTGATCAAAGCATGACCTGGGGTCGGAACCTAACATAGATTTAAGGATTACAGTGTGTGTAAAACACATCAGCCTAAGTTGATGCAAGTTACTGAAATCCTCTATTTGAGGCTGGCTCCCATCTGAGCATTATCCACAGTGGATTTCTCACTGGAAAGGCATATTATTTCTATAACAAAATAAGCCAGTTACAAAAGGACAAATATTGTATGATTGCATTGATCTGTGTTCCTAATGTAGGTAAACTGACTAAGGCTAAGTGAAGAATGGTGGTTGTCAGAGGATGGAAGAAAGAAAAATGACTAATGTCAATGTCTAATGAGCATGGTTTCAACTTGGGAGTGAAGCAGCATAAAGAGGCAGGGAAATTAAAAAGACACAGGAAGAGAAAGACCACCTTACCACTGGATCTGGCTGAGAAGTCAGAACTCCAACATAACTGATCAGGCTGGGATTATTTACAGAGACCAACTGTCCGAGAGACATCTCGAGGATATTAAGAACATCAAACTATGCCTAGTTAATGCCAGAATGTTTGTGGCCTTGAGTTTAACTGTGTTAGCACTTCTCTCTCATATGGACACTTAAGCAATGCACCTCACAGAACTACCTTACAATGTCAAGTGCCAAAGGTAATCATTAAAGAAAAATGGGTATGCCTGTTCACATAAATTTTTACTTAATTTTAAAACTCTTATTTCAGTTTTAAGCTTTGATATTTAAACATTGTTGTAAATTATATCATTTAAGTATTAATGTAACTTAGTAAGCCACAGAATTACACACACACACTCACACACGCCATGGAAAACACCCAAGTACCCTCTCTCATGAAGTCCACACCACGTCTGGGGGGGCAAAGACCTTCTCATACTCCAATCTCTTCTAATTACTTGATAGGCTCACCCTGCTCCACTGACTGATCCTGGGATTATTCCCAGATGCTTCTCTGACTTTTCCTGAGAAGTGGTCCCTTACTACAGTTGGTTTTGAAAATTGACAGGAGGGTGCAGCTCAGAGGTGGAGGGAGTGCTTAGAGCTGTGACGCTCCAACACCACACCACAGAGCCAACTGCAATGAACAAGGTGCACCTCATGGGTGCACAGTCAACCAAGTGCACCTCACGGATGCACAGTGAACGAAGTGCACCTGGTCTGAGTGTGCTCCATCTAGTCCAGGCCTGATCTCCGACATGTCCCCATAGAAGCCGCAGCAGGAGAGCTGACGGGCATGCAGAAGGGTGAGCTAATACCCAGGCCCCGCTGGAGCCCATGGCTGCCAGCCACTCTGGCTTGCACAGGTCTGAAGCCTTTGGCCTCTTGGATAATCTGCAAGCACTTTGCTGAATGCTCCCTCACAGCCTGCTTTAAAGACAATGAAACACCTGGGCTGCCTGCACAGTATTACTCAGCCAGTGCCAGAATCCATGCTCTCTTCTTTCCCCTCCCCCAGCAATCGAGAAGTCTTCCAGGCACTTAGGGTTTCTGAGAGGCTCCCCATCCTGGTCTAACCTGAAGACTTCCAGAGACCCTGGGCAGCTATACCCTTCCCTTCAGGCTATTCTGTGTGAGAGAGGGGGCTGTGGCCGCAGGTCTAGGAGTCCGAAGGAAGGACCACAGCAGAAGGCTTGGGTTTGCTTGCTTAGAATCCCAGCTCCTGTCTGACAGGAGCTCTGATGTGTTGATAGCAATGCTTTGGGACCACCTACCTTCTCGAGGCCCGGGTGGTTCTAAGCGAAACACAGAAGCCCAAGTGTAAGCTTTCACTCCTCCACCTCTTCACCGTGTGGCTGTGGGCAAATCAATTAGCCTGCCTGACTATGAAAATAAGGACTGTGGCATCTACCTCACCAAGCTGCTTGAGAATATGCCAAGCAAATATAGCAGTGAAAGTCTCCTTTACCGTAGTGAGGGTCACCACTATGGGATGGGAAATAGACCAGGTCAGCTGAGTTCACATTGGCGCACAGATGTGAGTCCTCAAAGGTTTTTAAAGTTGAGGGAAGTCCTCTGAGGAATGCAAAACATGACTGAGTCTCTGAGAAGCACACACTGAAGTGAGGTTCAAACAGGTGGGAGGCAGCAGAAGAAAGGGAGAAGCGAGGAGTACAGGCTGAGATGGGCAGGAGATGCAGAGGGGGTGGAGGATCCAGAATGACTGTTGGGGAAGCAAGAACTGGAGGCAGGGCCCCAAGGAAGCCTGGCTTTGCGCAGACAGGGCATGGAATAAAGCCAGGTCTCCAGACAGTGAGGATACTGCTGAGCTGCAAGGAAGACACAGGAGGTAAGAAACTGACACCAAAGGCAAGAGAGCTCACCTCCAGAGACCCTAAAAAGGACCAGAGACAGTCTGGGCAGAACTAGCTAGCAGTGGGCATGTGTCCCAGCACTGGCTCCCACAACTATGGGGTGCAGCAGGAAGCAGGGGGGAAGTAGGCTGGAGTTAAGAGCCCGAGCCAGGCTGAGCCGTGGGCATGTTTTGGAACAGGAGGGCACATCTACTTGGCTTGGGGCTGAGGAAGAACACACAGCAGCCACGTGCACATGGACAGGGGGATTCTGCCTCCCTCCTCCCGTGCTCCTGCTTTCAACCATCAGTTTATCAACTGCAGCAGGCGGGAGCTGTTATTATCACACTGGACAAAGTCCAAAGAGGCTAGGAGATCACCCAGCTGGAGGAGGAGCTGGACAGGAAGCAGCAAGCCTGACCATTCCACTTCATGACTTCCAGGATGCTGGCTGTCCTTCCCCTCACAGCTTCTCGGGAAGAATGTGTCGGGAAGAAGACATTCTCGTTGGGGCTACTGCCTTACCACAGACTGTACAGCAGACAGGAAGAAGCTGTTGGACCTGGACAGCTCACAGGTCCCACTGAAGGTCTTTTCTTCTCCCTTTTCAGGCCTCAGCAGCTGCCCATTGCACATGCAATACGGTGCCAGGTTCTCCTTCCAGAGGCAAAGCACAGCCGGGACTTTGTGATAGGAATCATGAGAGCAGATAAGGGCAGACCTCTAGGGTTCTTTCTAGGTAATGGACACACTCTACCAAAGAGTGTAAAGAAATGTGCACCAAGCCCAGGCTGCTCCCCAGCTCTTCTAGGATGCCCCCCCCCCCCCACACACACACTCTGGGAACTCCCTGGATCTGGGGAAATCTCCAGCAAGCCTGGCTTCTCCCTAGAACCCAACATCCCAGCATACTTACTGATTTATAGTTTGGCATCTCATGGAGACAAGTAACTGCTGGCCTACAGTCCAGAAAGCAGCCACCACAGTCCTCAGAAAAAAAAAAAAACAAAACTGCTGAGTCGTCATGGACCCAGAGTCCAGCCCACAGCAACACTCAGCCTAAAGAACAGGATTATCCAAGCTCCCTAAGGGAGACACTCCTCCAGTCTCCTCACCGGCTAGAAGCATTTCTTTGCGGCAGCTCTTAGTCTTTCTGGTGGTCACCAAATAATCTGCTCTGTCACCTCCCTCCCGAAAGGCCAGGATAAGGAGCTTCTAGCATATATGTTCTTGTGCTCCATCACTTGCTGGGACACTGGACAGCACGCTAACTTCTCTTTGTCTAGGTGTCCCTGATTCTAAAGTAGGGACAGCACAATCTGACGGCAGAGCTGTGAAAAGACGGGTATCCGGTGCTCAGGGAGGAACCTGCCACAGAGTAAGCGCTCAGTGAACAGTGGCTACAGTCATGTTTCCTGATTGCATTACCACCACAGGGCTGGTTCCTTGACCTCAGAGAAAGAACTGACCAACAGCTTGGCCTACTTCAACTTCTACACAGAAGGCCTTGCCTTCCAGTAACCACTCCCAACAACTGAGCATATAAGAGCCAATAATTCCCATTCTTATCCCTCAAAGGCATGTCAGAGGTCACTGGGTCATTCTTCCAAGCCAGGTGTCATCCAGGCAACCTATGGTTGGTTGATAATACAGGTCATACCCTCTGTAGGCAGAAAAGCAGGTGGCCTGGCATGTACATCACAGAAATAGCCTGCTCTCAGGGCCAGCATGTGCTGCCTTGGACTGTGGGGGCTGGGAGAACTGTGATTCTGTTCCATGTCTCCTCCTCAGGCTGCACAGAAGCCGGGAGAGGGTGTGCTGTGCTCCATGGTGAGGGAGCATGCTAGACACTGCTCCTGAGGAAGCAGTGCTTTCAGAGAGGCTGAGCCCTCAGGGTTCAGCTGGCGATACAATGTTCCTCCAGTACCTAGGGTCTGCTCCTTCTGGATCTAATGTGGTCTTTCTGACCTAAACAAATCACTGAATCTTCAACCCAAACAGCTTTAAAGTCACTGTATCCAAACTTCTGCCTTAAAGAGCCTGCATCCATGAGGGTATCTTATCAACCCATCCTACTGGCACACCTCCTCTTAGACAAAGCTGTCCTGGAAGGCAGTTTTCTCCCTCTGAGGAGTGCCAGCAAAGAGCTGCCCCAAACAACCAGGACCAGGAGTTGGCCATCAGAGCCAAGTGACTCAGACCTGACCAGATCTGGCTCCCTGTTCCCATTCAGAAATGACAGGAACCAAGTTTTCTCAGAACCAGCACACATTCTCTTCCCAAGAAGCCAACTGACAAAGACTATTCCCAGCTCTTCCCAAAAGCAGCTTTGCCTCTTTCTGCCCTGACATCCAGAGGTCAGACAGCCTCAGCTAGAGGGAGCAGTGGCTTGGAATCCAGATGCCCAGAGAAAATGGTAGACAATAGCAGAGGATACTCACCCAGGAAACAACTAGACACAGAACCAACATAGTCTTTGTGACTGAATGTGCACCCCCAAATCAGTCCCCTGACAGATCTTCAGTGTCTCTCTTCCCTAAGCAGCCCTCATTCACAGACCAGGGTGCCCCTGCCCGCCCTCACCAGGGTTTTGGATTCTTGTTCCTTGCCCAGTTTCTCCTAAAACTTTAGCCTGCTGAACATGCAAGACCCTCACCAACCCCCCCAACCCCCACCTTCTAGCCTGTCTGCTAATCCTGACCAAACCCCTGGGTGAGGCTGTCCCAGAACACACCTCCAAGGAGCCTCAGAAGGTCAGAGCAGAATGGGGGAGGGGTGGGCAGGAGGCCAAGAGCAGGAGAGAGCTTACCACCCACCTCTCCTAGCTTGTCCAGATTCTTCACAGGCAGATGCCCTCCTTGGGGACAAATTGATGCTGAAAGCTGGCCTGAGTAAAATCCCAGCTAGACCCTCTCCCCTGAGTGCTGGCCTTCTGTAGAGCAAAGACTGCAGCCCTACTCCAGCAGGAATCAAAATCATCCCTGGTGCCCCTGCTCCTTGCCAGCCCCCACTTGCCACCTCCCAGCCCTGTGTAACATAAACAGGGCTTTATTATCTCAAGTCCACCACGAGTTCTGTAAATGGAACACCATACAATAACTTGTTTATTAATAACGGCTTGTCCCTTCCCTCAGCCTAGCTCACTCTCTCACCGCTGTGTCCCCCTCATGCATAATGGAGGATCTGTGTGGCCTGTGACACAAGCCAGGCTGTGCTCCTCAGTCTGAGGGGATAGATGGGGAGAGGTGCCAGCCTGGACCAGGCTCCCTAAGGTAGGGACAGTCGGGGGAAGAACCCCCAGTTATAATGTGTGTGTGTGGGGGAAGCTGTGTAAAAGCCCTGGAGCCAGCCCTGCCCTATGCTCACGTCCTATGTGAACCCATGCCAGGGTTACCCAACACCAATGCTGGTCTATCTGAGGTAGACAGGGCTCTCTCTCCACAGCCTCTGCCCACTGGCCCACTTCTGTGTAAAGGTCTGAGCCAGGCCTTTCTCTTCCATTCAACACTCCATGACACTCCATGACACACCCCTCCAATTCACACAGTGGCCTTTCAGAAACCAACTTCCAACTGGCCCACTGCCCTGTTTTCCCTCTGATGGGCAAGCTGGGGTGGGTCATGGTTTCTCCAAACCCTCCTTTGGAGAGCAGGAAGTCTAGAACATTTAAACATCCTCAAAATGTTTACGGCCCTTATTCCATAAACTTCATTTCCAGAAGTGGACATTAAATGAAAAATCAAGGATGGTGGTAATACTAAGTCAAAGCTCTTGGGAATAGAGATGCCCTTGGAACCTATGGGAGCAATGTTCCAAGCCCCCGTGGACACCCAGACCAGACACACAGCCCTCCATGTAAGATACTATGTCTGCACAGAACCTGTGCATACTTTTAATTACCACCACACTACTTATAATTCCTCGTACAATTTAAACAATGTCGTATTCTTTAAGGAAGAATGGCAAGGAAAAAATCCACACATGTTCATACAGACAGATGTTTTTTTCTGAATATTAGTTAGGCCCATAATTTCAAATCCACATGCATGAAAAGATATTTCCATAAAGACAAAGAAGGAAAATAATAGAACACAGCTATTGCTAGGGGAAAATGACAAACAATTACAGCATGTCCACAGTTTAAAAGAAAATAGAAATTATAAATTCTCAAACCAAAGGATCTGGGTTCAAAATCTGGCTCTGTCTTTTACAGGCTGTGTTACTTTGGGCAAGGTACTTAGTCTTTCTGGGCCTTCGTTTTCTTATTTACATGTTAAATTACAAAGATTTAGTAAACGACGGTGTCTGAGATGTATGGTGGTATTTTAAAGGCTTAAACTCTCATCATCATAAGCAATAAAACACAATGATAAAATAATACAGGATAATATCTTAATAAAATAGAAAAATAAATGGAAAAAATATATGGTAAAAATAGAATGATTGTCACTCATAGTAAAATTACAGATAATGTGTATTTTCCCCTTTACGTCCATATTTTCTAAATTTTCTGAAAAGGACATAAATCACTTTTGTTGACAGAGTACGGTGGTTAGAGCACACTGAAGATGGTGGCCTTAGCTTTGGAGGTGGCCATTCCTGTGAGACATGCTCATCTGGTCTGCCCATCATGCCAGGCATTGATCGGGTCAACAGCTCTTGCCTCTGGCTTCTTTAAGTCAGCATCTTTCCCTCCAGGGCTTCTCTCTAGGGCTGCTGCTGAGCCATTTCTCTGGCCTACAACAAACATGGCTAGTGACATCTGTGGGGGCCAGGGAGATGGAGAAGAGTACATGGTGGGAAGGTGTTGGCATAGGATTAGAGCTGGAACCGAGAGGGTGTGGGGGGGTTGGTTGGCTGAATTTGCCCCCTACAGAAGCAGTCCTTCTTCCAGATGAGTGGACACAGTACCGAGAAACAGACAGAGGCAGCTTTGCTTCTGAGGAAGCTGGGTGGGCCTTCAGGTGCACCCCCTGGTGGCTATGGAGTAGGGGAGACCCAGAAAGCAGCTTCTCCCATCACTGCCTCTACTTCCCTGCTGCAGGAGTTCAGTCCAACACTTCCACCATATTTTGTCATTCCCCTGGTGTATTTCCAGGCAGCCCATCAGTGACTTCTCAAAGTTTCCTGGAGGCACACCTCCTTTCCCACACCCCAGGGAGCCAGCTCCCCAGCAGGGAAACGAGTGGGGAGAACAAGAGTGAAGAGAAGTTGAGGGCAGCAGAGGCATGTGAGCACAGAAGGGAGCCACTGGCCCACCTGAATGTGGGTCACATTTGCAGAGGACAGCAGGCATACCGACACTGAATGGTCGCAGTGACAGCTGGCGGGCCTGGAGGAGCACTCATGGCATCCTGGCCAGGCAGCTGAGTTGTGCTCTCCACTGCTTTCCGCTGTTGGGGTCACCCGCCTGCTGGCCATTACCCCTCCCCCAAATGACCTCACGTACCAAGCCCAACCTTCTGGCTCTTTCATGTTGGAATAGATCTGCAATACCACGACTTGGAGGATTGCCAGCTCTTGTGGCCAAAGGCTGCAAGACAGAGAGGACAGGGGTGGGCTGAGAGGCCAGAAGCCCTCCACTCATGCCTGTCAGCTAATAGCTGACCTCTGGCTACATAATCTGGTCCAGTTTGGAAATCAAATGTTTTTACAACAGGGAACTTGCGGCCGTGATAGATTGTGTCTGAAGAGCTTAAGCAGGAATGGGGCATCCCTCTCAGAGCTGTAGATAGCCTGGCACTGAGGGGCAGGTGGGATACAACCACCCCTGAGATCAGGGCTTGTTCAGGACTGAGCCCTAAAATATACAGACTGGCAGCAGCTGTGGAAAAGTTGGTCACTGAAGCCAGCTAGGTAAATGCGTTATCGTGACTGTTTACTTGATAGGATAAGAAAACCAGGGTAAAGAAACTGAGAAGAGGAGATTAAAGAAACATATCTCTGGAAACGTCTGTGAGGGTATTTACAGAGAGAGTGAAATGGAAG